CGGTTTCTCAACCTGTGGTGCATGGCGGGCTCGTGATCAGTTACACAAGAAGGTAGTCCTTGAAATGAGTGCAATGTGTTTTTTAAAAATAAAAAAACCAAATGCATGTTCCCTTGCAGGCTTTTGGGTGTTTGGGGAGGGGGAAGTAATAAACATTAAATTTAGACTAATCTTATCTGGCTGTTTGGCAACACTGCACGAGCACTTGGGAGATCTTTTTCCATTAGGCAGGTTGTCCAGTGGTTTAAAAAAGCAGAGGAAAAACACTGCTCTTGACCTCTCTGTGCTGTACATAAGCTCTTTTGCGTGCTTCTGCCCCAAGCCTTGGGTGGTCACCCAAGCCATGTTGACTTGGTGTGGTATTTAAAACTCACTGCATCCTGCGTCAGAGAGACTGTAACCACCTTCCCACCTCACCAGCCAGGCAGTCTGAACGGTTTCCTGACTTGGCCTTAAGCTCATTAAAAGTGAATCTTTGAGGCTTGTCAGTCTTGCTGCACTGAAAAGTCAGGAGCGGTTACATACACTTGTCCTGTCAGCCATTTGTTTGGCACCACGGTGGTACATGGATATGGATCTGCTGTCACAGTTGTTCAGGTAGAAGAGTGTCCAGCTGGCCTTATTTTATGAGCAAAGAGAGCCGACACGTGGGCAAGCAGTGGTGAGTTTGGGATGGGTAAGTGGATATAAACTAGCTCCGCTCTGGCACGTTCCCCAGAGCCAGCGGGAAGTCCTCTTACAGTTATCGCTGGCGTGGTCGGGCCGTGCAGCTGACTCCCCGCTGAGCAAGAAGACGCGAAGCCGGGAGGCTGGGATGTGCTGTGTTTGCTGGCACGCTGCTTTTCCTCCTTCCCGCGTGCTTCGGCAGGGCTAGCAGCAGTAGCATCACTTTGAAGAGCTGTGCTGCAGGAAAAAAGTCTCTTTTGGGGACCTCTCACCTAGCCTACCAGCTAAGCTGGCTGTACTTTGAGCTCAGATAAGCAACAGGCCACCTTTTGAAGCGCCGCTTGTTGGATTGCAGCCGGTTCCTGACTTGGAGGAGAAGCACCAAGGGGTACAGAAAGCTTTCTGCTGCTGCGGGCCAGCATTGTGCAGCTGGAGCTGTGGTAAGAGCGAGGAGGCAGTCTCCAGCCCAGGTTTCTGATCCCTCTTATCTCCAAGTTCTGCATCTGTTCTGCCTGTCTAGTAGATGAGGGCTGTACCAAGGTAGGGGACCCTTTCTAAATCGTGGTCCAGCCCTATAGGCAAAGTGATAGGGGAGCCATTGATGCGGAATAACCTCTTGCAGGAGCTTTCTGCCTAATGGCTCCACAGGGCAACGAGAGGTGCCTTGGGAATCCTCAGCGTTCCCCAAGTTATCCAGGTATTTGGGCTCTGCCTCTTGGAGGAGAACTTGCTGGCAGAGCAGCTCACGACAGCGCGTTGGTTCTGGCAGTGCCTTCTAGCCATTTCCCGGGAGCTTTAGTCTGCAGTTGTTCAAGAGAGACGTTGACATCAACGTAGGCCTGAAATTCCTCCCTGATTCTCCGCTGCGGTTTTGCTCGCCTGGAAGAGCAATGTTCAGCTATCGCCCAGCCACAGGGCCCGATCCTCCGAGTGACCGATCTGACCCAACTGCGAGTCAGTGCCCTGGACGTTCAGACCCATCCACGGTTGGTGCGTGAGCGCGGTGAGAGAACTTCATTTCTTACTGGAGTAGGTCCAGCTGCTGGAGCTTTATGAATGTTCCTGTGTTCGCAGCATCAAGGAAGATCGACAGCCTTTCAGTTAGCTGATTTTTTTAATTTAAAAATGCGCTTCTCTTCAAAGATTTTTGTCAACCCATGGAGTGATTACTCCAGGGCTATTGCTGAAATACCAGCGTTTTTGAAGGTCAGCATCTGCATATTGGTCTCAGCGTCTTCCAGTATCGAAACAGATGTGTGCCTTTCTGTTGTGTAACTCCTTTGTGGATGTACAGGGGTTTTTCTGTTGTCACCCAAAGGCTTTTTGTCCATACAGATTTTATGCAGTCCTGCTTTACCTTCAAAAGCAAGCCTGGACCTCAGTGCCTCTGTATGGAAAGGGTGGACTGCAGCCACTGCTGCTCAAATTCCTCCTAAGTGTTGGCTTTTCCAGGGTTCAGTGTGAATACTGTTTTAAAATGTTAAATTAAGTGTTTACAGCTAGTCCGGCACACAGAATGGCGACTGCTCGGGCTGTGACCTCAGCTTCATGCTCCAGCCCGTGGTGAGGACCCAAAATCAAGAGCCTGTCCCTTGGCTCTTCATGGAGTGCTCACCTGTAGTTCTGTGCAGTGTATTAATTGGGGTGTGCTGTGTTCGAGGCTATGGCAGTAAACCTGCCCCAGTGTATATGCTGGCTTGGGAGTTTTTTTTTACTCCTGGCTTCCTCTTTAAATCTGAATTTCATTTTTACATGGATGCTTATGCTTGCTTTGTCTTTTGTATTTGTAAAAATAAATACAGAGCAAGTCAGTATTATTGGAGCAACGTTAGTGCTTTATCACTGCAGGTGACTTTACATTTCAAATAAAGGAGGAGATAATAGTTTGAGCTTACTTCTGGGTCAGGAAAAGGAAAGATATGAACAGAGCTGCTCTTGGCCTGGGCAGTTTGTGTCTGTAGGAGAATGAGACTGCGGGGACCTTGAAGAGTCGCAAGAAGATGCGGCAACAACCTAGGAAGCGAGGAGTGCGGGGAGAGTGTTTGTGTCCTTTCTTGAAGAACAACTGTTTCATTTGCAAGGCTTGAGACCAAGGACAGTGTGAAAGAAGGGTTTGTTCCTTGCCTGGGTGAATGCAAAGATGACAGAGAAGAATTAC